TTCAGTCCTTTTAGGCTCTTTCACACCTGAACCTGACATTAAAGTAGGTTGTGGTCTACAGTTCAGTCCCCGTTTGGTACAATGTTGATGTTACTAAAATTGTAAAAGAGAGAGAGACTAAAGTAGTTTGACCTGCTCATATTCCCCTCTCAGCTTCCTGATAGGACAAAATGCTTCCATTGGTCTAACTATTCTCCAGTAATTCCTCCTGGAGAATCAAAAAATAAGGAACTATTTTAATTATATTACTACAAATATATGATTTACATGATAGCAGAGGGTTATATGGTCAAAAACATGCATTATTTTTCTGACATCACCTTTAATGCCACTGTTTTACTGTCACTTAATGTATATACTGTTAATGTATAAACATCAATTAGTTAACTAAAATCCTTTGATCTTTATAGCTGCATTACCTCACTATATTTTTGTATTCATTACAAAAATTCAGTCCATATCCATGCAGTGCAATGGGATATGTCCTTTTGAAGAATGAGTAGCGCTGGTTCGTGCTGGCGTATCATTTTATTTTAGATCGAGTTTTCGTGCAACAAGGAAAATAATTTGTTTCAGGACCAGATTGTGACCAATCACAGCGGACCACTGGCCCCCACTTTCTTGAGAAAATCTACAGGTCTCTCACAGACAGCTGAGGGAGACGAGCTTCATGGCGGAGGCTAACCTGAAACTTCCCGTGTCTTCGTCACCGGTTACTGCTTACACAGCGAAACAGCCATCCAAAAGAGAGTCTCGTTCCTCCGCGCTCCCGGTTCTATCATTCTATGGTCCACGTGCAAATGTGCGATCTATATTGTGAGACGCGAGCTCCGTAAAGTTACAGTAACAACAGCATATGAACACGAGCTGAGGGGGGGCAATAGCTACGTTGGTGCAGGGGGGCCCTCACATTCGAAAATGTCTCAAAGTGAGTTAGTGCAGCTTTAAGTTCTTAACAACCTTGTTTTAGATCCTGAGAGTCTAAAATATGATACATACAATTATCACATTCAAACTTTAAAATACCAATTAAACTTTCTCTGCAAACAGTTTGGTTCTATCACCAAACTGTATAAGCACATATTTTTGACCTGTCACATCTTTTTATCAGTTTTTTACTTTTCTGTGAGGCCAACTGTCACTCAGCCAATCAGTAATACGCCCAAAAGGGTTCTTTTCTGCAATTACAAAAAAGATTATAAGTTCTTTAATGAGATTTCACTCACAACACAAAACATAAACAGGATACAAAGTAAAAACATTATAATAATTGATTGTGTTTATTGAGTCCAGTCCAGTCTATTCGGTGTCTTAAACAGTGTCTTTAATAATGTACCAGTAAATAAGAAAGAGTTTAAGGTTTAGAAGGTTATTCTAATAAAGTGTAAAGAAGCTACTATGCTTAATTACCACATGTTTGGGTGGTGCCTTCATCAGAGGTGACACGTGTCTCTGCTCAGCTGTTGTTACCAGATGTGGCCAGTCTGACGATCGGGTAGATTCACCAGACTGACCACGCCCCACTGTGGTGTCTGGAGAAGTCCCAGGTGTGAGCCAAGGTGAAGGCCTCCTCAGGCCTGTTGATGGTCTGTTTGCCTGCTTCTTGATTATATCCATCTTTTGTATTTATGTTCTTTCAATACTATCTTGGCATTGTCCTGTAAGCAGTACTAGCTTCTTTACACTTCTTGTCATAATAAAATAAACTTCTAAGCCTTAATCATAAACAAAACATAATGAGATTTCTGCGTTCATGAAGAGTTCAAATTTGACATATAGCTGTTGCAGAGGCCGTGTTTAGTAGTGATATAGCGCAGGGCGGATGGTGCAGATCTCTTGCCAAATTTCCATCCGTCCGTGTGCGTTCTCGCCTCTCCCATTTCTAACACCTCTCTTTCTCCTGTCTCTCCGCAGCAGGGCGCATGTGTAGGTGGCAGTGTGAAATGCCTGGATCTCAAAGGTAAGCTCAAACGCCCCATTATAGCATTATTAGCTCCATGACTTTGACTGGTTTAAGTGTAATTATAGAAATAGCCAATGGTGTAATCCAAGCAATTAGTGCAAAAAGCTGTGTTTCATCTTAGTAGTCTAAATTTGTCTATGTTTATGTGTAGACAATATGTTTGGATCCAATAGCTAATCTGTTCTAATTCAGCAATATGGGCCAAGCTAAGTGCTGGGCAAGCTTACAGCACATTATACCATCTATAAAGCAAATGTGTTATTGGCAGTGGTGGTATAGGATGCATTTCATTATAAAGAACAATGTTGAAGAGTTGGGGGGTATTAGATTATATTTGCCAGCTGTTATATAGAGTGCTTGTTCAACTCTGGTCTGGACTTTACTGTGGGTACAAATTTATTGAGTTGAATCACAGTACAATGAATAAGTTGAAATGCAGAGTAGATTATATAGAATTGTTTTAATTTTTTTGTATATTGTTAATAATAGAATAAAAACTTGCACACTCAGGAATTGGCTACTTTATAAACATGTGCTGATTGACGAAACCTCTGCTTATTTACCATTAGAAATGACGTAATCTCAATTTGGCTACAACAAACACATTTCAAACTGTTAAAACTTAAGCAATTACATTATTCATACAGTTGTAGAGACCTCTGTGATATGGCATGAACATGAAGCAAAGAATGGGCGGCATAGTGGCTGAGTGGATAGCACTCTCACTTCTCAACAAAAATGTCCTGGGTTCGGATCCCGGTTGGACCAGGGCCTCTGGTGGTGTTTGCATGTTCTCTCCATGTCTGCATAGGTTTCCTCCGGGTACTCCATTTTCCCCTGCCACTAAAAACATGTACAATAGGTCTGGCATGCGCCTCCTGTACTGGCGACCCCGCTCCCATCTTTGTGCGGAGTGAGCGGACAATTTCCCCCCAAAAAAAATAACAATAGTAAACCGCTTTGTGACTCTGGTCTGTGAAAGGCTGTGTATAAATAAATATTGCTTATTTACTTACTACTTACATAAATAAATAATAATAATTTAAGGAGTAAGAATATAGTGTATCAATAATAATATTTTTTCTTGGGCCAACTCTGTCTTTAGTAGTTTGGTCGATAATTAGGAAGATGGTTTCTTAGTCAATTGTAATTTTCAGCAAATTATTTAATTTGAATTACAATAATTGTTTTATAATTATAATATTTAACATATTTATTCAAGATTGTCAATTAATCGCTTACTGTTCCAGTGATAAGTACAGTTTGGGAAGATAATAGACTAATTCTTAGAGCATTTTTAAACACTCATTTTTAAACACTCATTTATAAACGTATTTGGACTTTGGAAAAATTCACATAATTTCAAAATATATAAATATCACTGTCCGTCCTGCAATCTTGAGAAAAGGGAAAAGTTCAAAAACGACATGCCCAGTCTTGAAGGAGAATTCGGATGGCATGAAATTGGTCATGTTTGAAAACCCATTGAAAACTGTTTTACAACGCGTGTGATCATGTTTGCGCTAAAATTCAAGTCCTGTCTTCTATTCCAAACTTGTCCAACTTAACAGCAACTTTCAAAGCTAATTAAACGAGTGTCCATCTCAAAGTGGAAGGCCTCTGCTGCGCGTCTACGGCTCTCCCTATACTCCCGTCACATTTACCCGAGATGGGTGTCACCGCTTCACGCACTGATGCCATCTGACTGCGGCTGTTGTCTGCTTATTATCTATCCAGCGCAGCCCGGATTAGAAAAATGGGATTTCAAAATGTCTAGCCCCTCCACCAAACCCTCGCTCCCTCTCTCTCATGTTAAGTGATTATTGCTAAAACACGCGGGGAAAAACGCAAATCATTTTGGAAATAATTATGATCGTAATTATCATCTGCCCCCTTCTTGGGTGGGGAGATAAGAGTGTATGGAGATGGGGAGAGGGGGGTGAGCAGCACATGGATTTGTTTCATCAGTCACAGTTTGATTTGGAACTCCAGGTCAATAATAATCACATTAGCAGACAGTAACTGCAGCAGACATATGTACACACGGAATCAGATTACACACCAGTGCACAGGCATGAAGAGACGAGAGGTGCGCCCCGAGACTTTTACAGTTTACAGCTCCGATCTTGTGTTGTCTTGCGTGTCATTTTGTACTCCGTTAACTTTGCATGCATTGACTCACTGTATTTGAGTTTTGGGATGACTCAATGCAATGCTACTTCTCAAAGTGGTTTTTATTCTATCATATATTCACTTTTTAAGGGACATCTTTTACCAAACAAACACAAGGCCCTCTCCCAGAACCAGGACCAGTAGAGTCAGGTTTGTGGAGATGCAAGCGCACTCATAACTTATTGCTGTCAAAGTAAAAGGTAAAAACAAATACGTTCACTAATGTTTTGCTATAAAGTTGCACACTGGAGCTTTAATTGAACAATATACTGTATGCTATAGTTGGCTCTCTAGTTTTGTCAAAGTTTAATGTTATTAGGTGCAGCTATGGGTTTGATTTGGCTGAAGTCCCCCAACAAAACTGGTGAACCAAATAAGACTCTTTGGATAATTAAATGTTTCTATTTTTTTTCATCAAAAATTTATAGATTGAGAATCAACATCAAAACTGATACTGAAACACTGATTTTGAAAGTAAGAAAATACAGTAATCGGTCTGAGGTCACAAAAGACTGAACACACTGGAGTACATACTGGCCCTCGTTGTATCCACCTTATCGCATACTACGATTAATGTAGAAAAGCAACAAAAGGAAATATTTTGGCGAAAGTGTCATTAAGTTACTGGGATATTTCTGTGAAAACAAGAAAGTTTTGGCTTCAGCCTATTCCTGTATTTTAGCCACTGTGAAGGTGTCTGTAAAAAAAAAATCCACTGAAATTAAAAGAGTTTTGGCACGCAGCATTATGGCAGATAAATATCTTTTTGACGATGAATGAGTAGGTTGGTAAAAGGATGGGAGTTAGCCCACACACGTCTTCAAATGTATGTATCTGTATTTGTACTGGGTTTGCATTGACAGAAATGGTGACGCTCTTTTACAGTCGTCTGAATGGCATCCAAGAAAATCAGTTTGTTGTAGAAGTTTGTAAGTTTATAGATTTTCTTTTCTTTTTTTCCCCGCGTACGGAGACAAAAATCAATGTCATTTCGAGCCTTCAACTCTATGAAGTCCAATCAAAAGTGTTCCCGCAACAGTTTTCTTTATTCCCTTTCTCTGTCTTTGATTAAGTCTCAAACACATTATTAAAAGAACACACAAACACTGCCACCTCTAAAGGAAGTTGTTTTGCCATGATTTTTTGCTGAAATGTTAATTTTCAAAAATGGATAACGCACGTTTAGAACTGCGCAATTTTGCCTGTTAGCAAACAGCCTCCCAATTATCTTGTGTTTGATTGCCTGTTTCTATCAAGGTGAGCGATTAGACCACCGCTCCTGTGAAGCTCTGGAAGCCGTGCTGAAATGGCTGCACTTTGATTTCATCAGTCTGCAGGCAGCCCAACTGGAAGAAAATGTGAGTTTTATGAGCAAAACTTATTTCGCTCATCTTCGTCTTCCAATTCCAATACAGTTTCATATTCAGGCCTCTCGCTGGATAAGATTAAAGGCTATTTTTTCCTCACAAAGAACTTCATAACGCTCTTGTCAAATTTGTGGCCTTACTTTTGTCGTGTTCTGAGCTTCTGCCACTGTTTGTGTGCCTTGCAGGGTGCAGCGTCCTTACTGGATATGATTTTGTACTACGAATCTACAACCCATCTCGACATTTCTGACAACAGCGCCATGGCTACGTCGGGTTGGAGGGCCCTGGCTCATTTAATAAAGCAGGTTGGCGGATGCAGAGGAATTGTAATCTTTTCTTGTAGGCTGTCTCCCTGGGGATCATGTATATATCCTCGAAAGTGAGTTTGTAGCACATTACATGGAGTGGAGGGACGGGGCAGGACTGGGGGTGAAGTTTTCACGTTGTAAACATGACAAAACTACAACACCGAGGTTCGGAAAGATGAACTGTGCCGTTTTTGATTGGTTTTGAACTCCAGAACTTTCCGATAGATCTTACAGCAAGTGCTAGAAGAGCTAACGAAAGTTATCTGTGTAGTATAGAAATGTATTTGAAGCCATTAATGTAAACTGTTTTAAGTGAATGTTGTTGAGAAAAAAAACACCCAGCTCTCCATAGTTTTATAATCTATGAATCTAACATGACTATGAACATTTAGAACACGGTTTATCGCAGACAGCCATACATTTAATCACATAATCATCAGTTTTCATAACTCAGAACAATCAATCAATCATTATTTGTAAATCGCCTTTCCTACACAAAGCAACACAAAGCTCCTCACAGTCCACATCACACAAGGCATAAAATCGCAATTAAAAACACAATTAAAATAGTAAATTAAAACATTAAACATTGTCAGAGAAGAAGCCTGTCTCACGTTTTCAGGGAGACTGTTCCAGATTTTTGCACGTCTTGTCCTGACCCTTGAACTGTGTTTTATTTTAATTTTATTTTTTTACATTAAATCCTGTGTTGACCCAGTACAACAGTGGGAAAGGTCTGTCTGTTGTTTAGACTTCATCTAGGTTATGCGCTTTGGTTTATTTAAAAAAAGTTCACAGTCTCAGGGCTGTATTTTGCCTCTGGGCCATATTTTGGATACCCGTCATTTAAAAGGAAGACATAATGCATTTTTCTAAAAGTAAGGTAAGGCTAGTTTATTTCTATAGCGCAAATTGTATTCAAGGCAACTCAAAGTGCTTTATAAAACAAGAACGGTAACATTAAAGTAATTCAAAATCAAAGTATAAACCAACATATTCACAGTGCATTCTCTACTGGAGGAATACCTTTTGAACAAAAACAGGCCGAGAATTGTTTTTAGATCCATCCATGCTTATATAAGGAACTTCTGCCCCTTCTGCCAGAAAGTTTGGACATTTATCAACACTTATGGACACTTATGGACTCCCCCATGGACCAATACCTTTTTGGTTTCTATTCTTTGTGTTTGAACTGTTTTATACTCTGATTTGTTTTGGCAAATTCAGTGGTTTTGTAAATTCCTCTGAGATAAAAACTGTTGTGATTTATGGCTACAAGAATACATTGAATTTAATTTCCTGTTCCTGAGTGACATCACACTCAGACCAGTTTCTCCAGTATTGCCCCTAAATTAGTTATGGACATTTCTCAGGTGAAATGACGTTCTTTACAATCACATGTGTTTGTAGCTATAGTTATTTGAAAAAGCTCCTCCCTCTGGTGGTAGCAGAGGGAGTTACAGGCAGATATATTTGTTTGCTTTTTTTCTGCACTATCCTTCATTCACCACATATCTTGACTTTTCTCATTCCAAAAATTGAAGTCACATAAAGTAAATATTATCATTCTACAGTTTAATGAAAAAAAATAATGCTTAATTGGTCTTAAAATTTAATCCCATGCATGTTTCCGTGTCCTTGTGCTCTCTCCTCCCCAGAGCGTGCGTCTCTCCAGGCTGGACGTGTGTAACGTGTCCCTGGCTGAGTATCCGTCCCAGTCTCTGTCTAAAGCTCTTCTGACCAGCCGCCTCACAGTGCTGCACCTGGACAAAGCCAAACTCAGCGGTCTGCCTCTCTTCACTCTGGGTACACACACACACACACACACACACTTTTCTATTGTCCCGAGAGTCAATGCACGTTCGTGTTTACCCGGCCGTGTGGGGACTCTGTTGTGCTGAATGGAAATGTGGAAGGTGGAAGTTGTTTTTGTGTCCCGAGGCCAGCAGGACCAGATTTTGACCCTGGCCTCCTCTCTGCGTGTCGGACCAGGATTATGGGTGTAATCTCTCCTCTGTCACTTTACACACCGCTGCACTCGTAAAGGCGCAGGCAGCTTGGACACACACACACTCACAAAACAAGCGGCTTTGGCACAGACTGGACACTTCTAGTTCTGGGGTGAAAGCTCTTTTCAGCCACCTCTTTTCACAATGGTAAAATAAACTTAATATTTGTGCTTCTTTTATACCCAAACACATTATTGAAGCTGCAATCATCAGTTCTTGATAATCATTTTTGTGTGCGATTTGTGTGTATAGACATTTCCATTACAATGCAGACACAATGGACTCAATAGAATGAAGGCATTGCAGAAATTATTGTTTTATTCTACTGCCAAATAGTGGTAGTTCCTCGAATGTATATTTAATTCTGAATGTACTTTCTTGTTTCACATGAAGAACAGATCTGTGTTTGAGTGCAACCTCTCATCCCTCAGCTGGGAGCAGAGAGCGATCCAAATGGACGCAGTGGGCTGCCCACTTGTCCCAACAGCCTCTTGTTCCTCAAACCAACATTTTGCTCCGCGCTCTGGATCTCTTTGATATTTTGGGTCTCAAAGCTCGCCCCACCTACACACGCCTCGCTCTCTCGCCCTCCCCTTCCCATCTCCACGGGGGGTCCCGGCTGAGGATCATTGCTTTCGATCGGAGGGGCCTCTGATTGCTGGATTGGGCGCTCGTGGCGGAGTCGACCGGATCAATCCCACCGATCTCACCATTTGGTTCCCACTGTGCCTGATGACAATGTTGGCATTCCACATGCAGCCGCCAGCCTCCATCAAATCTGCAGCATCGATCAGGACAGGGGGGCAGGCTGGCCCGCTACACGGACACATGTGCACAGAAATGCCCATGGCACACTGTGCTTAAATACAAAAGGAGTCCACACAACACATTTTAGCGCTTTGATGGACTACGTTAATGAACAGGTTTGACAATAGCCGGAGCATTGACTTGGGGCCTTGGGGTTTGCGGCTGAGGATTGGTTGTGGGGACAGACAGATATTTTTTTACTGCTATAATTGCAGCAGGCGGCGCCCCCTGCTGTGTGCTTTTTCCATGCTTTCGTCCACTCTCCATCAATCAGTCCATCACAGTCACAACCCAAGGGTCTGAGTGTTAGGATGCTAAACGATATGCTAAATATCTCATTCATTTATTCTAACTCTGGCTCTTGTTTGGTCTATTCAAGTCTCTATGACTCATAGCTCTTGCATCTTACAAAAGGACATAAGAATTCATCCAAGTTTCTTTATAACAAGCACTACTACTTTTACTTCTCATTCAGGTTCAACATCTATGCTATACAGCCTGAGTCCTGGCTAGAACCAGGAAGTACAATCAGATCAGTCCTGGTCTCAGGTCTCTGCCCTGGCATCCTGTTGCTGAGAGAATAGACACAGCTCTGTTTGTATAAGAAAGTACATGTTCGTGCCATGTGAACCAACTTGGACTCTGAGGAGCACAGGGACTGGCCTCCTGCTGAAACTCTGAGGAGCACAGGGACTGGCCTCCTGCTGAGACACTGATGAGCACAGGGTCTGGCCTCCTGCTGTAAGCCAGAGTCAGGAATAAACAAAGGGAAGCAGCCTTTCAGATTAACAGTGTTCCTGAAAAATGTGTCTACTCTGACAATGTTCAAATCCAGGTTGAAAACTTTTCTGTTTAGCTCTGCGTATAACTGAAGGATTGTAGCTTCAATCTTTTGAATTTCCTGTGATTTTTACTGCTTTTTATTATTATTGCCATTTTATTCATGTTATTTGCTGTGCAATCATTTTACATTGGCACTTTACATTCTTTATATTTGTATTTTGTGTTTTAGTCTCGGCCCTGAAATCCAACAGAAATCTCAAAGAACTTCACCTCACTCACAACCAACTCAACAGTTTCCAGGACTCGATGCAGCTCAGCGATCTGCTGCGATACAACAACACACTGCGCACTCTTGAACTAAGCAACAACCAAATAGCTGATGCTGGTAAATTACAATGTGTGGTTTCAAAAAATCCATAAACGGCTACTTGTATTCTCATTTAACAGTGAATGGGCGAATGCATTCTTTTTATAGATTTTTTTGGGGATTTTTAACACAACTTTTCAATGCAAGAGGGGTTGTTTTGTCTCATTTCGTCACAGCGTAAAGACTCAGATTGCATATACATCTGTGGGACCAAAATGCCACACTCCCACTAAACATCTGCTCCTAGAATAAAGCTTTAGTGTATGCATATGGAAACATAATCTTCATACCTCATTGACATTACGCCCTTGTTTTTAAATTAATCTTAAGATTCTCTGTGGTTTTGTGCGATACAACTGCAGTTTTAAGTTATTTGGTTCTTCTATGCCAGGCACAAAGATGCAACTTACTTAAACTACTACAAAGACAAGAAGAACATCCCTAAACTAAAAAAAAAAAACAGTCTGTGCCCTTATATTATAACTAAATAAACTTGAAAGTAGTTTAGTTACACTCACACTCGACTTTATAACTTTATACAATACATTTTGGACTATAAGGCGCATCTGTAAATAAGCCGCACCACCTACTGTACATAAGAAAAGAAAATCCATTTTGTCCACATATAGGCCGCACTTTAATCAAAGCCACAGGTTTTCATCTTGTAATCTAGTAGATAGATGACTATTTAAACTGGACATGATTCAATTACCGTTAGCTTCCATGACTCTTCCATTAGTCTATTTTAACGGCTTTATTATATATAGTAAGTAAGTAAGTTAGTAAGTAAGTTTTTATTTATATGCCGCCTTTTCACTGCAGATCTGAGTCTCAAAGCGGTTTACAATTGTCAATTATGGGCATTTGTCTCTCACTCCACACAGAGATGGGAGCGGGGTTGCCAGTACAGGAAGCGCATGCCAGAACTATTGGACATATAATAATTGGACTTGATATATTTGACATCTATACAAAAACTTGATGGAGTCAAAATAATAAGTCCATAAAAATGCAGTACACAATACAAAATGAAAATACACATATTAGCTTTATAAGAAACAGGGTTCAAAGAAGTCGAAGAAAGTAGCGGCCTATAATAGAAATTACGGTAGTTATTTAGAACAACCTACATTAATGAGTTTTTGCGGTTGATTTTTACAGGGTTTGAGGAGCTTTGTGAAGGGCTCCGATGGCAGGGGACTGGGCTGAAGGTTCTCCTCATACAAAACAACAAGATCACCACCAAAGGCATGCTGCATCTGGCCAAAGCACTGGTAAAGAAATATTTACATTTGGGTGGCAGTAGCTCGGATGGCAGAGCATGAATTTTGGTGGTTTGAATCCTGCTCCCGACATCAGCTTTTGGATCGAGTGACCGACAGATTGGTAAATGTGATACCAGCTCCCATGGTGATTGCTCCTGTGTGTCCTTGGGCAAGACACCTAACCAGCCTCGCCCCCAGAGGCTGTGTTCCCTGGTGCATGAATGTGTGTGTGTGAATGGGTGATTGCTCCTTGATGTAAAGCGTTTTGAGTGCCTTGAAAAGGTAGAAAAGCACTAAAAATTACTATTTATTCCTGAAGCACGTCTATCTATCTCATTTAAATGCTTTTCGAAGGCTAGATTGATATACAGTACAGTAGGTAGTGTAACATCAAAGTGTTTAGCCACAGTGGAGAGTGGTTAGCCTAATACATATCCAGTCCAAGCAAACATGCAGTAATCGTTGTCTTTAATGTTATAAAGAGGAATTAATCAACATTTTTATATTTTATTCCCTCTTTCTGAACTATATGTTTTTCACTTGATATTGTTGTTTCATTTTCAGTTTCATTAAAGCAATAATGTTTAGTGCTTTGTGACCCTGGACTGTGAAAAGTTCTATATAAATGACTTGCTTATTTCACTTGATTATAAAACAACACAACTATTCAGATTCGTTGAATATGAATAACATTAATACAGACAGTTAGAGCAATAAATCTGTAATTCTATTAAAGTCTGACCTCCAAATTACAGATTGGATGTAGACTCCTATTAAATTATTAGTGGATCTTATTTTAGAGGTATTAGCAGAGTGTTGCAAATGTCAATCTTGTCTGTTCTCAGATAACTTTTTTTCCCCTTATTTTAAATAATTTTCCCATTTTTTTCTTTTTTTGAGTCGTTCCTTGCCGATGCCGTAGGGCCTTAGAACAGTGATGATCCAGGACATTTAAGGACATGTATGGACAGTTATTAACATGTATGTACATTAGTCATCCCGCTCCCAATGGACCAATGGCTCCTATGTATTATTGCATTTCCTGTTTTATTCTCTCATCTGTTGTTGGTGAGTCAACAACTTTGTAAAGTCCGCTGAAACAACTGCTGTTGTGCTTTAAGGCTATATAAAATATTGAATTGAAATAAATTACACATAGTTATTGAGTGTATTTTCCATTTTTTTACACTGAAAAAGTATTGCCTGAAATTCAGAGAGAAAATGTATTCAAATATTAGTTTTCAGAACAAAAATATTCTGATGGAACAGATAATCTTCCACACAGGAGATTATTAAATCACAATGCAACTTTCCCGGTTAAGTATAGATAATAAGACATTCCATATTACTTTTGGCAATAAGTGCACACACGCAAATGCAACGTGTTGAAGACTTGAACTAAAGTACATGGTCACTTGTACATCTCCCTTACATTCAGGCTGAAGCACTTCATTCTCTGTCCATTCGATACCTGCTTCACAAGTCGTCGAGAAAGCTAAAAAGAGCCTTGGACTTAATCGGCCCTGAAACCACAGCCCCTTTCACTCCTTCTCCTCTGCGCTCTCCTCTCCTAATAACATGCATTCCTTCCGCCTGATTGGCACCATAAACGGCACCTTACTGTCATGTGAGTGGCGATTGTACGAGTCAAAAGGCTAGAAATTAACGGCTTGTCGCACTGCGCACACATTCGCTCTGGTCTTGTCCTATTCAGTACCACCAAAAGAAGGAACAGTTTGATTCAATAATAGATGCGTGTTAAGGAGGGGAGCTCTTGTGGCCTGCCAGTCACGGAGATAAGTAGATGTCCTTGCAGGCCGTAATGATGATAATTAAAGCTGGTCTTGTCGAATATGATGAAGAGGAGAGCTGTAATTAACCTTCTCAATGGTGGATATAGTATGCACTTTTGTCCTGTCCTCTTGACTCGCTGGGCACAAAGGAAAGGAAGGCCAGAGGGATACTTTTATGCTTTCAGTTGAACTATGTTTCATCATTTTCTAGCTATTCAATATTGTAAAAATCCATCCCAAAAAAATCTGGACAAGGATGGACATGTCAGTTGGGAAGCTGAGTGGAGATGTCTTGTGATGTATTGAGCCTTGGCCGTTTGTCAGGATGGGTTTTCTCCAGGCACTCTGAAAATCCCCAAAACACAACAAAGCTTAAAGGTGATCTTCTATTTTGTTTAATTTGAGAAGAACACATATTTTTTGGCCGTATTACATCATGGTATCACATCATGTATTTTTCAAAATAAATATCCCTTTCCTTGACATTACCATCACCAAAAAGATTTTCTGGAGGAGAATGGTTGGGCCAATGGCAAGAGGCATTTAAATGTGTTTCTTCCAATAAGGAAGCAGTCAGGGTGAGAATGGGCGGGTCTAATCGGTGCTTGCTTTAGGAAAACATCTCTCTCTCTTCTGCAACTGCATTCACTTCAAACCCAACATAAAGGGTTAGGGTTAGGGTCTTCTAACAGTAACATACTGTTTGCACCTTGATTGGAAACTTGATTGACATATTTTAAGAAAGTCACTGTTTTTTCACTTTGGGCTGTAAGCTGATTGGGTGAGTGTGGGTGGTCCTCTCTTTTTCAAGATCTAAATATGTGACAGAGGCCAACCAATCTAGTAATTGAACTGCTTTGAGAGCGAGGAACCAGTTACATTGATTATATCGCATAGTTAATGGTTTGATAGTTAGATAATCCAATTTAAATAGAGAATACTGATTAACAAGTCAGATATATTTGCACATCTCTCTGATGCTGCTTTTTTTTTTCATCTTTGTGGACCCGGGGAACTTAAACATATTCCTTTTAACACAAGGCTATTTTGTATTAGCAGGAGGCATTGTTGACTACATCTTGCGTTCACATCTCTGGTGCCTCTTCACCGGCGTGTCATGTGTGAACAAACTGTTTTTTAGCGGTGCCTTCACACTCGTCGCTATACCCCCCTCAAACTTCTCACTCCAACCCTCCCGCGGTTTTACGTTTGACAGGCTTCAACCAAGCTTGACTCTCACGCACTCTCAACCACGCACTCGCCTCTTTAATTGTCTGCTATTATCCCTTGTGCATATCCATTTGAGACCCTCTGTTTCCCCTGCTCCGCTCCTGACTCATGCTTTGCCCCTAGAAGAGCGCCAACCACATACAGAATATCACTGCAAAAAAAAAAACTACAAAAGTTTGAATGGAGAACATCCAAAGTGAGTTGTGTATCGTAAAAACAGTATGCATGTGTACAATCCTGCACTTACAGTATATGGTTGGTACCTACCTTACCTTTTTCATAATAATACATTACGTTTGTCCCAACAGAAAGTGAACAAATCAGCCACAACATGCTGCCTTCATCTTCTTGGAAAGCCTGTTATCTTTTGCATACATGTTAGAAAGAGCTCTGAGAGTCACAAAGCACGCTCTGGGCTGAGAAATGATTGGCCGAATAAGGTTGTTCCTCCCTTTTTCATTTTCCCGTCTACAATAGCTGATCTACAGACCCAAAATAGGCCAAAAATACATGCATTTGAAAAGATGTAAAAGAGAACTAAAGAGATGGGAGATGAGAACAAGTTAGATTTGTATGATATTGTACATTTTGTGTGGTTTGAAAATTTTAATGTTGAAATGATAACTCTTGAAACAAACACACAACACACATTTTGTTGGATTGCCAAATTATAATCTAAAAATGGTAAAACAAAAAAGCAAAAAACTACTAATAAATCTGTTTTCCCCTACTATTCTAGGCCAAAATCATTTTTCTCTTTTTTAGAATGAGAAACAAAGTTATTGGAGCGGGTGCACTTCAGAGGCAAAATGCACCAGTCCTCATGACATTTCCACACATAAAGCATATTACACCCAATGTCCACTTCAGATAGACCAAGTTCAAAGAAGTTAAAATCTTCCTTTATGACTACACAAAAAAAGTTATGTACGATGTATTAACTTTTATTTGTGTTTTTTCCAGTGTAGAGAAAGTGTGTTATTGTCACCCCTCTGTAACATGACATACCCTTGCTGGATTTTGCCTTTTGTGATTTGCTTCCCGCCCCCGTGCTTCACTCTTCCGAGCGCGACCAGAGGAGATGCGCAGGGGCGGTCATGAAGTGAAAAAGTGTGGGTGTTGGTCCCAATGCTCCCCAAACTCCCACATGCACTTTACGCACCAGCTCATCAGCTGTTCACGCACTAATGTGGCTCGAGAGACGGGAAACACGACTTCTGAGTCTTTCAACATGAGAGGAAAACCGTTTGGAAAAGAACAATAATGACTGTAATGATGGAAGACCTCATCAGATATCAGGAGCTAAGCAGGGCAGAGCCTGGTTAGTACTTGGATGGGAGACCTCAGTGATGCTGTCCTTAGGCAAGACTTTAATGTATCTGGTCTGTGTGTGTGTGTGCGCGTGTATATGTGTGTGTACGTGTATGTATGTGTATGTGTGTGTACGCTTGGGCGTTTTGTGAGGGCCCAATGGCTCCTACGGCTCAGATTAGTTGCCTTGTTTCTGCCCCAGGACAGCTGTGGCTATACCGTAGTTACCATCACCCTGAAGGCCTAATACAATATAATTCTTTATAGAGTTTCCAAAAAGCCCTATATCAAAACATATATGTAGTACACAACTGCACCAGGAGTAATCAGGTCGTGAATTCTATTTGAAAATGGATAACAATTTGTACAATTATATGTTTGTATTTTGTGATGTCTGCTTTCAGCCGCTGCTTCGGGTGCTGCAGGTTTTGGACTTAAGTGAGAATCTTTTGGAAAATGAAGGAGTCCACATCATCAGAGAGCCGCTGATGGCAAACTGCTCTTTGCTGCAGCTCGGCCTCGCTAACACCAGCATCACGTGTGAAGGTAGGACAATGGGAGATTTGGGATTTATTAATAAATTAACTCAAAAGCTCCTCCTTGCATCAAAATGGTGCTCTTCTGTGTAATAACATGCAATAATGTTAGAATTTATGATGGGGGTCGCGGGCTAAAAACTTTGGGAACCCCTGGGTTAGACTACTGCAATGGCCTGCTCACAGGTCTGTCCAAACAGGCTGTAAAACAGCTGCAGTACATTCAAAATGCAGCAGCTCGAGTCCTGACTAGAACCAGGAAGTACGACCATATTAGTCCAGTCCTCAGGTCTCTGCACTGGCTTCCTGTGGCTCAGAGAATAGACTTTAAAACAGCTTTGCTTGTGTACAAGTCTCTCCATGGCCTCGCACCAAAATATATTAGTGACATGTTAGTCCCATATGAACCAGCCCGGACTCTGAGGAGCACAGGGACTGGACTCCTGTTAGTGCCCAGAGTCAGAACTAAACATGGGGAGGCAGCTTTTCAGATTCATGCTGCTAAAATCTGGAACAATCTTCCTGAAGATGTGAGACAGGCCTCCTCAATGACAATGTTTAAAACCAGGTTAAAGACAGTTCTGTTTAGCTGTGCATACAACTGAGGGATTTTATATTTGTATCTTTATTTTTAATGTTCTGTGATTATTTATGATTTTAATGCTTTCTTATTTTGTTCAGCACTTTGAGTTGCCTTGTGTATGAATTGTGCTATATAAATAAACCTGCCTTGCCTTGCCAGATCTCTCAACAGATGGATACTCTTAAAATAATATATTCAGAGTTAACTTTATTACTCATACACATATTTTTCTTTTGCTAAGAGTATACAGGATGTTAATATTGTCTGTTAATACTTGTACTAGGTTTAGTAGGCTAAAGCATATTGAATTAACTTGTACAGTCATATAACTAAGTGTTGTGTTAACCCTATGAGTATTTTTTTTCAGAAATGTGATGAAAGTTATATAAGAGATAGATGACAACTAATATAAGTAACATAGAAGAAACACATGATCTAGGGTCAACATGATATTTTCTGTTAGCTTTTCCATGACAGCAAAACTCCACACCATAGCCTCAATACATAGACTGCATCAGGAGGGGACTGATCGAGTTCTGATGTCAACCATAGTGTTCCATGTGTACAGGGGCAGACATGTTGCTAACATAGTTGCTAAGGCTAGCTGGAGTTTCCCCTGTGATCGAAGGAATCTGATTGGTCAATCTGAATATCTGCAGATTTACAATATCAATATCAAAATAAAACCCCAGGATTGTAGAAAGCGCAGAACCTGATTTAACTGAAACAAAAGGTTACTGAACTAGAGATTATGACTACAGTCATTAGGAGCCAGCGCGAGTTAGAGCAAAACTTTGTCCATGGGCAGTTCCCTCTTGGTCTTCATTGAGCTAAAGGGTTAGCATTGTCCATCTATATACACTCTATATGCTCTGCACCTGCAAAGTTATGATACATGGAATAATTAGGATGTTAGGAATGCGTCATGGAAATAGGTTATAAAGTATATTTGATCTATTTTAAATGCTGTACAAGTTCAGTATTCATGTTTTTATGATGACAACAATTAAAATCTAATTCATGTGTTGCTCATAGGAGCGGTGGCGCTGGCTGAGGTCCTGGCTGAGTCGCGGCTGCTCCAGTGTTTAGACGTGAGTCAGAATGAGGTGCGTGTCGGGGGTCTGATGGCTCTGTGTTTGGCCCTGAGAATAAACCGCTCCCTGGTGACGCTCCACCTGGACCAGGACCCTCCTCTAGAGCAGGTGGGTGGACTCAGACTGCCGCCACTGTTATTTACGCACATTTTGAGCTGAAATTGAATGTAGTGAATTTAGTTTAGTGCTCAAGATTGGCATGTTCTGTAGATGTTGTAGAAGCCGCTAAATGTACAAGGTGTTTGCGTTTTGTATCTTATTATAAAGATTTATCTCCTGCCTGAAGTGCTCGGCTGGAAACAAAAGCGTGTGTATATTTATAGAGCCAACATGTTTTAAGCTATGAACACAATAATGTGAAAAGCACTTATGAACTCATGGATGACAAAGTGATGAATACATTTGAACCTCTGGAGATTGATACACATGAACAGTGGCATAATACCGCCTTGATGTGTCATATATCTGTAGTCTTTAGACTGCAACGATATTGTGATCTCATTGGTTTCAGAACTCTGGTGTTGCATATCCTAATGCCGGGTTAATAAAAGGATCTTGTGAGTTTTAGGAAATACATTCATGGCATTTCACAATAACAGGAGTTGCTTAAGTTATGACAAAGATCAAAAGGGTGTTGTGCGAAGAAATCAGGCCGAGGCAGACCTGGAAGTTTATTGCAGTATTTTCAGAGCAGTGTGCATATTTACAGGGGTTTATAAAGATGACAATATGTGTCATTTCAAGATGCAGAAACCAATATGAAACAGTATTGAACAAGTACAGTATGGCCAGTATGAGCATGACAGAGTTATTGATCAGATATAGTGTACTTAAACACATTTTTTTCCTTAAGATATTGTTGTCCCGTGTTCATTTATTCAGGCTATATTTCACAGTATATAAATTTATTTTAATACACTGAGATTCTAAGGCAGAAAAAAAAAATCAGTAATTTTATGACCAAAATTAGAGCTGCATTTATAGCCTATATTAACATATTTTCTTGTCATGTTCACCCTTGGAGAAGGTGACCGAAAAAATGCTCAGGACTACCATGAGGAGGCAGCATTTCAGATTTATGAAACTAACAGTCTTCCTGAAAATGTGAGACAGGCTTCTTCTCAATCTTCAAATCCAGGTTAAAAACAGTTCTGTTTAGCTGTGCATACAACAGAAGGATTGTATCGTCACTCAGTTTGAATGTTTCTTTTCTTTAGTCATGTACCTTGTCCCTTGCCTATGTACTGTGCTATACAGATAAACTTGACTTGCCTTGCCTTTCCAAGTTACATTGGCTTGGTCACGCAACTTCTCGTCCCACAGGGATTTAATGTTGTCCCATCCTTAATAATGTTCCGTCTGTACTTCATCCAAAGACGGTCATCTGTATATTTCAATCTAGTTTTAACCCAAGAATTTTTTTTTTAGACGTAGAGATCTTCAGAGAAACATCAGTAGGAACATGTTTTGGCTGAATTGCTGCTCTGCCACACTTTAACTCTGCTTTTTTCACACCGCGGCGATCAAATGACTCTCGTTGCTTTCAAACTGCCATCTAACCGATAATTAAAAGATAGTGGCGATGACTTGACGAGTTTCCATCATCAACAACTTGTCTTTTTTTGATTTATCTCGACTCCGTGTGGTCGCAAATTTGTCACTTGGATACGAAACTAAGCCACAGTTCATCAGAAATTCCTCTCTTCTCTCTATATTGCACCTTCCGCGGCGGCAAAAGGCCCGAGGAAAACGATGCCATAACTTTAATACGTGCCCCTGCTGGATTCACAAAATAATTACCCACACTTGCCATCTGTTTGTCATGATTTTATCTCTGCTAACTTATTTGCATATTAAAGCATTAATTAAAATCTCCAAGGAGCCGAATGCTTACTTTAAAATTAGCTCTGAAGGCGATTCCGTGCGCGGCTTCTAAAGTTGTTTTATTTTTGTTTGCAGTGGTTTTTGGGACGTTTGTTTGCCGCCTTGTTTACACGATTAACTCAGATTTTATTTTATTATTTTTTAAATGAACTGTCTCCTCTGGCTAAAGTCAAGCGATGAGATGTGCCGGATTTAATAGGATTGGCAGTTGTACAGCTTTGGTGCTTTGTGTGTGTCCTAGCGATATCAATATCACTCTAGAAAAAGTGTTGTTTGTGGTCAACAGGATGGACTTTGTGACACCAATATGTTCAAGCGAGATTTGTTAATGGGGTTATTCGTGTTAATGCGTGGTTGTTAGTGTGTCGAGATTAAAGTACATCATGATAACTTTCATTTGACCCGTGAAGACAGGATTTTTGATAAATGTTTGCTGAGGACGCACTTCTGTAAACAAGATAGATATTAAATAGATTGTATACAATTATGTGTTATACTGTATGTTCTCAGAATCCCCGAATCAAGAAGAAAAGAATAGTTAGTAATTTTACGATCTTTTGTGTGTACAGGGAAGGGAGAAAAAAATACACATTATTATTATTCACAATACAACTTCAGACAAACCGCAACTTTTGGTCTAAATATGTCTTTCTTTCAGTCGGGCTCAGGGCAGCTGTGGCTACAGTAGAAGTGTATGTTAATAATACAAACACATTTAAAGCATTTGTTTCTGGTGATAAGTGCTCAATACATATGGATTACCAAAATTACTCTTTTATGTTTTCGGTTTGTCACAGGATTGATGATGAAAAATTTATGTTTCTACTGTATATATCCGGAGAGTTTGCCTGTTTCTCTCTGTGAGTAGGTTTCCTTCAGTTGCTCGGGTGTTTTCCCTACATCTAAAACATGCACCTGGGATAGTTCTGACCGAGCTTAGCATCAACTTTTGTAGATGGATATCCGGACACTGTAGCGACCTGCAGCTACCCTCACTCTCTGGAAGTCAGACCCTTGCTCAAACCCCACCTGTTCAAAACTGCCTACACTAAAATTTGGATCTTAGATTTGTCTTCTTATAAACCTGTCTCTTTGTGTGTCTTTGAGCACAAAAAAATGCTATAAAAGTACAATGTATTTTTATTAATATTATTATAGAGACTGACATTTTAATACTACTGCAAAAGGAAGTAGCTCTCTCCCATTTCTCTTTTGTAAAAGTACCTCTCAGATTGAAAAAGCTTGGAGACCCCTGCGCCAGGATGCGTCATTGGCATTGAAGGATGGGTCAAAAGCAGAGACACATTTCCCTACAGGTACAATACATTATACTTACATGTCTATTTTGATCAATGATTGTACTTTAAACATAGCATACTTTGTTTTTTTGCTCGTTTTCAATCAATCTATTATACATTAAAAATACACTATCTTAAATTCACAATCAAGTTATTTTTGCAGTGCATCTTCCCCTGCCTCGTCCCCTCTCACTTCACACATGTTCCAAAGTGTCCATATTGCCGCCTTGACGCCCAGAGACGTGATTAGCATTTCCACTATTGTCGGGGAGTTAGTGCGGCTGGATATTTTAAGGCGAATGGTAATAAGGGAATTTTTAAGCTCTGTCAGGTTTTGGAGTCGCACACAGCTGGGATTTGTCTTGGCACGGCGTTTCCAGGTGGGAGGAGTGACGATTGTATTAAAAAGCAAATCTTTCCATCAGAAAACAGCGGGTGGCCAGATCAAGTGTTCGCGCTCACACACATTCCCCCAGGTCGCCCAGGAATACGTGAAAATTTCATTCTTGTGTCGGGAAATGAGTGCGAGAGACTGACAGAAGGGGTTATGCTGCCAGTTTTTGGTTGTTTGACGCCATGTTATGCGGGAGATGCACATATTTTAAGCCAAGAGAAAAGGAAAGAGGAAACTTGGCTTAGAATAGGTCTGTCACGTTAACAAATGCAAATGGATGCTATAGATATTGTGATAAACAATACAATTGAATCAAGTTTATGCCGATTCAAGCAGGGAAATCCCACTTTTAAGATAGTGTTTGTCATTGAAAGTTATGGGCTTAAACAAATAAACAGAATTAAACAATAGACATTAGAAAGTGACTTACAAATAATAAACTGTACGGATGATAAATAATTAGTGAATTGGAATATAATAACAGAAATAAAATAATGGAAAGAAATGTGTTCCATTTGAATTCAAATTGACTAAAATTGAGACAAAAATGAAAAAAATGACAAAATGAATACATTCCAGACTTTTCTTTCCAGTGAAATTTGCAGCAAGGGCAGTATAGTAGGTACAATGTTTTATCATTTTGGGTGGCACCGAGTGGTTCTTCTCACTCTGCACACTGTCCTGGGCTTGGATTCCAGTCGTATCTTGTTGGAGTGTAGTTTGCATGTTCCCCAAGTGTCTGCGTAGCTTTAGGTTCACAGAAGACAAATTTACCTACGGGGGTCAATAAAGCATAACTTCAATGAGTATTCAGGTTCAAAACAGTTTAATGAGGCAACAGTGGATCAGTTTGTAGAGCATTGATCTTTGGGTCTTATGGTTGTGGGTTTGATCCCCCACAAGACATACTTCGTTGACCCACTGCTGCCGTTGTGTCCTTGGGCAAGACACTCAGCCTCACTCTGCCTGAAGCCCCCTCTGAAAGAACCAGGGCTGTGTCGTCGGTGACAGAGCAGCCATCCTCCTATAGACTCACACAGGATCAGTGAGGGGCTGGAGCTTTGAGAATTATCCTCCTCCCTGACCCAGAAATGGACAAAGCGAATGATGATTAATGATTAAATGAAACCTATTTTTTTCATGATTCCTTTGAAATGGATTATCTGAAAGCTTTGCGATCCAACTGAATGAGTGATGCAGGATCACCCTCAAATATGTCTTGGCGTCGTCAAAACGTCTACTCTTGTTTTTATATTACTGCAATTACAAAAATAGTGTGGATTAAATCAAAGTCTGTGTATATGTACAAAAAATTAGCACATTTACATTTCCCCAAAATCCTTCAACCCTTGTTTGTCTTTGTTTACATGATTTTTCAAGTCTGCTGCTGTATCCGCTGCTCCATTTGATCAGTGGCCTGTTTGCTGTTAATTATTCATTATTTACCCATCTGAAATATTCATAGTCCCTGCCCCGATCGGAACGCAGGCTTTTCCGAGGGGCAACTCCTCTCTCTGTAGCCAGGGTAAGGT